AGGGAGACTTCCGGGAGAGCTGAGTGCCCCCGCTTACGCAGGCCGCCACCGTAGCTCCACCCTCTGGGAGGAGTCTATGGTTGCAAGTGTTCCGGTCTGGACCCCACGTGGCCCCGCCCCACGCATGCTCTCATCCAATCATTCCTTCATTCATTTATTCAGGCGCTTTTTAGGAGGTACCATTGACCGAGACCTGTGGCTGGTTGGATGCGAGGCATAAGAGAGGAGGAGCCAGCGATGTCTCGAAGGAGACGAGTTGATGATGGAAGTATTTACTGAAGTAAAGCCTAAGGAGAAAGAGTAGGTGTGGGGAAAGTGACATGCCGAGTGTTAGATTTGGGACAGACGTCCAGGCCAAATCTGGAGCCCAGGGAAGAGTGAAGGGCTGAGATTTGGGGCTGAAGCCTGGGGTAGATGAGTCACCCACGGAGGCGTCCAGTAGGGAGAAATGAGACCAGGACAAAGGTCGGAGAAGGAGACGTGGCCAAGAAGTAGAAGAAACCAGTCTGAAGAAGGTATTGGAGAGAGGGAAGGATGGATGAAACCGGATCTTAGGGAGGGTCCAGATGGGCAGTGGTGTGGATGCTGACTGGCTTCCACTATGCATGTCCTTGGTCACTCACTCAGGACCCACTATGTCCTCGAGATAGATGGTAGCACTCAAGGGACCTGCTCTCATGGATGAGATGAACTTGATCTACATTTTGTAGAGTCTACACAAGCCCCAAGGCCTCTCGGAATGTCACAATGAGGGTAGAGGGGGCTTGGAGCCCTGTCCTCCCCTCAGCCCTTCTGCAAACATCCGTCTCCCTCAGGGAGCCCTCCACAATTGGCCTGAATGGTCAATTGGCTCTTCCCCAGCCCTCAACGTGAAGTTCCACAACTCCACCTTTCTCAGGACACACCAGGCTGCTGCTGGGTCATAGCATGTCTGCCTTTATTGATTTGTATTGTGTAAACTGTCCCAGGCAGGTGGTGAGCTCAGGAAAAGACGAAAAACCTATCAGAGCCTATGCTTCTGTGTGTGTGTGTGTGTGTGTGTGTGTGTGTGTGTGTGTGTGTGTCAGAGTCTGAGTATCCACACCCTCTGTATCCTCCCCAGTTCATCTCAGACCCACTCATCCTGTCCTGTCCTTGGCCTCTCTTCACCTGCTTCCCTCTACCAGGAATTCCTTTTCTCCTCCATCTGTCCAATCCTCCCCATCCTTCAAGGGCTGACTCAAAGTCTGCCTCCTTTGAAACTTTCCTCACCACTCCACTGTCACCACACCCTGCCACTGATTCCTTGAGTTAGATACAGCTCTGTCTTGCCTGCCATTGGTTTATGTATTTATCCTTATCTCCCAGGGCCTGAGTCTGATTCACTTGTCAGCCCTGTGGTAGGTACACAGCTTGGGCCAAAGAAGATACTGGTTGCTGTGTGCATACCTATGTGTGTGTGTATGGTGTGTGTATGTGGTTATGTGCATATTTATTGTCTGTGGATCCTGAGGGGTCTACAGTGTGCACTGAATGCATATATTTTGTTTCGCTACTCATTTAGCCATATTACATTTATTGAGTACCTGTAACTAGAATTCTGAGTGTTTGGGTTTATCACATGGACCTTTGTTTACTTACTGAGTGTCAATGGGTATTCAGTTTGTGGGTATGAACCCTGTCAGGGTGTTGTGTGTGTTGTACAGGCATTTGGGGCATCTCTGTGATGTGTGTGTTTTGTGTGCATGGGGACATGTGAACTGTTGATAATGGTGTGTCATGTCTGTGCAAAAACACATTCTTAAGCATTAGGGACACGGGTTTGGGCCCCAGCTCTGCCACTGGTTCCACTTGGATCTGATTCCAAGCAAGTCATCAAACTCTCTGGGCCTCAGCTTCCACATTTATAAAATAGGGAAGATAGTACCTATGATCCTAGAAATGTATACCTGCTAGAGGTCTATCTTGTAGAATGTTGTGAGGATGAAGGATAAGAATTAACCTGTGTAGGGCACCCAGCACAGTGGCAAATGGCAGGTACTGTGGTTTCTATTTTCGTGTGTGTGTGTGTGTGTGTGTGTGTGTGTGTAAACAAGAATTCTGAACTCAGTGAGTATCTGACTTGAGCTTCTAGACACCCTCTGCTCCCCATGCAGCCCTGCTGGAGAACCCCAGAGTCTGGAACCTGAGTAAATCTAGAATCCAAGTAGATGGAGGAAGGACATGTCCTTGCTGGGAGCAGAACTAGGACTCAAAGCGGCTTCGGAGAAGTTTGAACTTGGACTTGTTGTACTTAGTGATGAGGTCCAGTTTGCTGTGGCCCAAGGTCAGCCGCTTCTCATCCCCTGACAGGCCATTGCTACTGCCATTGTGATGGCCACCTGTGGGGCCCCCAGGGAGGCCAGGGTCAGGTCCTTGCCTGGTGCCCTGCAATTGATGATACTTGGTAATGAGGTCCAGCTTGCTGTGGCCCAGGGTCAACCTATTCTCGTCCCCAGAGCCCACTCCAGCCTTTCGAGCAGGGCTTGGTCTGGGGAGACCACTGGGCCCAGCCCCCTCACCCCGGAATGGGCCAAACTTTGTGATGAGGTCCAGCTGGCTGTGGCCCAGGGTCTGTCGTCGCTCATCAAGACTTTGCTTGTCAGCCCTGGCTGAGGAGTTGGCTTCAGGGGGCACTCTGGAGCCCCCAGCCTTGGGGTACTGTACCAGGAGGTCCAATTGGCTGTGGCTGTGGTTTGAGGACAGCCTCTTGTCCTCTGGAATTTGATTGCCAGGTCTGGGGGAACCTGACTCAGGGGTACCCCCAGCACCCTGGGTCTGGGGCAGGAGATCCAGCTGGTTATATCTCTGGTTTGGGGACAACCGCCTGTCCTCTGGAGCCTGCTCTCCAGGCCAGAAGGAGCCCAAGCTGGGGTCAACCCCAGAATCAGGGCCTCCAGCTTCTCTGGCTCTGGGGAAGGGGACAAGGAGATCCAACTGGCCATGGCTCTGATTCAGAGACACCTTCTTCTCCTCCACTGTCTCCAGGGCTGTGCTAGGTACCCAGCGACTTCGTTGGGGACTAGACTCCTGGCTTCTCAGGAGCCCATTCTCTGGGAGCCGGGATAGGGCTGAAACACCCTGGGGGAAGGGGAGGAGGGGGCGTTGGCGGGCAAGCATAGGTGACCCCACTGCCAGGGTCAAGGGGCTGGCACCATTGTGGTTGAGGGCAGGGGAGGACTGGGACCATGGGGACACCCCCAACTTGCCTAGATTGGACCTGTAGGGCCCTGGCAGGGAGCCATGGTTAGGGTCAGACAGCTGGCGCTTCAGAGAGGGCTGGCCACTGGCCCCGCGGCAGGCAGGGCCCAGGGATGAGGACTCCATACCCATGTCACTGCAGCCACCGCCTCCTGGTGGACTGAGGTAAGAGGAGTGGTCCATTAGAGGTGAGCGTTTGATGCTGCTAAGGCTGGTGCTGGAGGGTGAGGAGGATGCAGGGCTCAACACACTGGGCCGGAAGCCCAGGGCCACTGTGGGAGGACACAGTGCCCTGGGAGATACGGGACCCTCACCACCGCAAAAGCCCTCCACAGGCCGAGACTCGGCATACAGACAGCGGAACTCCCGGTCAAAGTCTTCCACGATGCGGCCCCTCAGCTGCAGCACCATGCTAGTGTGGGCCTGGCTGCAAAGCCAGGTGAAGCTGGGAACAGAGGGTCAAGGTCAGAAGGCAAAGTGCAGGAGCCTGGGGCTGGGGGGGGAGTCATAACCAGGTGAACATACCAAGACAACTCCACCACCATTAGGACCCACGTGAGGCGACAGAGCTCTGACTTCAGAGTCTGTGCTAGTCCTAACTCAGCTTAGAGGACTTGGGCACATGGTTTCCCATCTCAGGGTCTCAACTTCCCCATCTGTAAAATGGACTGGGGATGAGAGTCCCTGGAGTCCCTCCAGTTCTGAGGTGCAATATGCCAAAGGCATTAAAGTAATCCTTCCACAGAGTGAGCTCCTCCAGGGCCCAGTGGGGGGCTGTCTTTCCCCCCCACTATGCCCTGAGGCCTGCACAGTGCCTGGCACTTGGTAGCCGTCAAGTCCATGTTGCAAGATTGGGTGGATGAAGGTAAATTCAAGCTGCCAGATCCCAGGTGCCCTCACCAGCCGGTGGCACAGCCCCCTGCCCCTCTCTCCCCTGTTCCCTGTGCTCACCTGTAGCTGCCTGCCACCACCTGCTCACAGTCGATGATAACAAACTTCTCCAGGGCCTGCCCCGTGAAGCGGCGGCCGGCCTTGCTGCAGTATGTGTCCCCACATGTGCTCCGCACACGCATGTTCTGGGCCAAGGAGGGAGGTAGGTTGGGTGGTGACCTTGAGAGAATGGGGCTCAAGCCACATCTAAATCCCTTGCAGTCTCTAACCTTAAGCAGCTAAGGAAAGTCAGGTCGCCCACTCCCATTGACCCCCTCCCACATGCTTACTGACCCTTCTGCCCTCCCTGACTCCCCACCCCACCCCCTGGTTACCGCCCCTGTCCCTCACTGACCAGCAGGTGCCCCCCGTTGAGGTCCATCTTGTAGCACATCTCCAGGAAGTGCCTTAGGTGCTCCTGAGCCAAAAGCAGGTAGACAGGGACACCACGCCGGCTCGAGGCCTCCATGAGGTCACACAGAAGCTCCATGTCCGTGAATATATCCATCACGACAGCTACCACCTGGAGGACATAGGGAGAATTTCAGCCCTGCCTGGGATATTGCCCAGCCCAGGGGTGGGGGCTGAGGTCCCAGGAAAAGAGAACTGGGCTTAAAAGCAGGAGGCCAGAGCCTTTGAGAACATCTGGACTGGAAGGGCTTTTAGCAACAACCTAGCTCAGAGGTTCTTAACTTAGACTCAGCGGGCGTTCCACTGTCTTGAATGCCCAAAATACGTTTGAAAGCTTCGGTGTGCATATTTCTGGGGACAGAGGGTTTATCTGTCATGGGCTTCTCAAAGATGTCTGTGAGGAGACCTAGGCCAAGAGTAGGGAAGGAGTCAGGAGCAGGTACTAGACCCCAATTCCCAGTGCAGGCCCTCATGCTCTCCCATTAGCTCCAGCCCTAGTGCTGCCAAAGTTTCCCTCCTCAAGAATTAGAGCTGCAGGCCAGTTATTGGGGGCTTTGAGCCATTGGCCAGACCTGCCTCAGTTTCCCTACAAAGCTACAGAGGTCTAGTGTGGTATCTTATACCCACAGACTCCCTCACTTCCACCCACGCCAAGTGAGACCAAGTTTTCTGCTCAGTTGAGGGACTGGGGCTTGTGGTCTCCTCATCTAATGGACTGCCTCACAGAAGCCCTGAAAACCCCCTCACACCATCAAGCCCCCAACTGCCCCTTCTTCCCTTTGCATATATCTGCTGTGAGAACCACCTTTGTCATCCAGGCTGAGGCAAGAGGTGCAAAGCACTGCAGCTCTGGAGCCGGACAGAACCGGGTTCAAATCTGCGCTCTGCTACTTCCTAGTGATACAGCCTTGGGCAACTTTCTTCACCTCTGCGAGCCTCAATTTCCTCGTCTGTTAAATGAAGATAATGATAGCTACATCTCATAGTTATGAGGAATTCAATGTGAAAATACTCGACACACAACAGAAGCTCAATAAATGTTCCTTTCCTGCTGCCTGCTTAACAAACAAGGACATTGGCCCACAGGAAAAGGAAGCCCTTCCCAAGGTCACTCTGAGAGTCAGTGACAGCCCAGAGTGGAAGCCTGGCTCCTGGCCCAGAGGTGGAGGGTCTAGATGAGGATGAGGAGGCAAGTGCTGGAGGGTGCTCTAGTCCACGGCACAGGCCTGGCTGAGGGTGGGGGGAACAAGGTCAGGTAAGAAAGATCAAAGGGGCAGGGTGACAACAGCAGCCACCTCACTAATAACCCCATTCCCAGTGCTAATCAGGCCCGGCCCTCCCCTGCCTCGGGCACAGGCAGGTTTGCCAAGGAGGCTCTGGAGGCACCTGGGAGATTCCAGCTTGCTGGCTCCTGATCTCTGCAGCAGGCTGCTCCCCCAGACAAAGACACTGAGTCTAACCCACCTCAAATCCTTCGTGGGGTCATCTGATCCATTCCCCTGCCTCCTGAGTCGGAGGTCAGGGCTCAGGAATGAAGCTATGTTAGTCTGTGGCTGGAGCCTTCCCAGATACTGACCATGGGACCTGCTCTCCTCCCCCTCTTCTTTCTCCTGAGCCCCTGCTCCCCATCTCTGAGCCCAGAAGCCCCCACCCCTCTTCCCTTTTGGTGCAGAACTATCATCCTGGCCCTCAAATGCCATGCTGAGGCCCAGGCACCAGTGCCTTCTTCCCTGTTTCAGGCCCAGCTGGAGATGCAGTATATGAGGGGTGAGGTGCAGCTGGGGACGTGCACCAGGAGGCAGGGCCAAGCCTGGGTCCAGGGCCTGAGTCAGGGCCCCTTTCTCTCCCCCTGAGCTCTATTTCACCAACTGACTGGACCTTCCTGAGCAAGTGCCAGCCCCTCTCTGGCCTCAGTTTCCTCCTCCATAAGTCAAGGGGGTGACTCAAATGTTCATCAAGGTTGGACTTCTTAGTTTGGGAGCATAAACTCTCCAAGAATCTGATGAAGGCCATGGACTCTCTCCCAAGAAAGATGCAGAGAGGATCCCTCCTAGCAATATGCCCAATTTTGCCTGCATTTTTAGGGTGTCTGGTGAGTAATGCTCTTGAGTGTCAAGGGATTACCAAGGTAAATAAAACACATGCCCACTCTCTAGGAGCTGGTGATCTGATAGAGGCCAGAGGTTCTAGTCCCAGTACTGCCCCTAAGCTGCTTTATATGGCCTTGGGTTGGTCCCTTTCCCTCCCTGGGTCTCAGTTTACACATCTGTGGAATGAATGTCTGAAGATATAAGGCCCTTACCGTGCGGGCCTGGCTGATGAGAAAACGCAGAAGGTCCTTGATGTTCTTGGCCTTGTCCCGCTGGAAGTGGACCACAGCCTGGGTGGGGCTGAAGCCTGTGGCCTGCGGAACCTCAGGCCAGCCCAAGTCCAGGTCCGGGGGGTCTATGTCAGAGGCCATGGGGAAGTAAGTGCCTGAGGTGATTTCAGAGAGCAAGCTGAGGTGGTCAGGCCCTGAGGCCTCCAGTCCCTGGGCCTCGCTGAGCTCAGGGCCCCCATGCACATGGCTGGTCATGTAGTCCACGTCCAGAGCACTCAGGAAGGGCAGCTCCCGCTCCTCGGAGATGACCCGCAGGTAGGCGGCCTCGCCCCGCTCCAGGAGGGCGTCGGCCGCCAGCCGGGCAGCCTCACTGTGCTGGAGCACCAGCGGTGAGGCCTCCCGCCACCACGGCCGCTTCAGCTCCTCCACCCGGCCCCGCAGGGGTCCCGCCATGCCCTGGGCCCCCAAGTCCCCAGGCCCTAGGCCTCCGAACATTCCTGCCCACCTGGCTGCCCTCACCCTCCAGTAGGCTCCATGGCCTGCACCCTGGGCCGGCTGCAGCAGGAAGAAGATACCAATAGAACCACCTCCTGCCTGCCTGCCCCGTATGTGCCAGGGCCCCCAACACGTTGCCACCCTAAATCAGAGCCATGCTCCGCCCCATTGCCCCTGGCCTCTGGAACCTGTTGGGTCAGCCTCACCTGTCTGCCTGCTGTTGAGACTCGCCCGCTCAGGGAAATGGCAGTGCCAGGCCCTTAGCACGCACTCCTGCCCACCCCCACCCTGGCACCACCCCACCTTCACCTGCCCCAGCCCCACCAGGCTCCCAGCAAGTTTCCTCCAAACCCTGACCTTCCAGAGCCCCCATACAGGTTGGATTATGGTCCAGAGGGGCCCAGTCCTGTTCAGACACACACATGCACAACACACACACATACACTCGCGCGCACACACACACACCAGGGTGGATAAATGACTCAAGATACCGAGATAAAGACATGAACACACAAGTAGATAGGCTGACATGTCATATGCAGACCATACGTTTCGATCAAACCCATGTGAACTGACCCAAATGTTAATTCAGAGACAAGCCATAACCCTAAACATACCACGGTGGATATCACAAGCCTTGGCACACCTTGCATACAGGCCCTAAATAACTGAACAGGGCGTCACACAGAGCTGTCAAGGACATCAGCACCTATCTGTCCCCCATCTGGGCCCATCTGCTCCCATGATGGCTCTGCCGCTCTCTACCTCCCTAAGTGTGACACTCACAGTCCGCTGCCCACCCCCACCCTAGCTCTGAGTCCATCCTCCAAGGATCTCCAGCAGTGGCTTTTACCCTAGTCCCCAGGAACAGCTGGGGAGTGTTAAAATGCAGATCCCCAGGATTCACCCATCTGAGATTCAAATCCAGAAAATCTGAGTAAACCTCTGAAGCCTGCTTTTTTACAAGTACCTGGGTGCACCTGGGACGGTGGACCCAGGCCCACCCCTGAGAAATGCTGTTCCATATGGCTTGGCCTGGCATGGGCCACACCACATTCTTCCTCCCCACCTCAGGGGCTGCGTATTAAATGGCTCATAAGAAAGGTTGTTTTAGAGGAATGGGGGCACACTGCAAGGTCAGGAGGCAAACAGAGCAGGCAAGTTTCTGTTCTCTGCCCCTAACAAGGGCCACAGTCCCAGAGTCCTCAGTAGCATGAGTAAGAGGCTTTGCTCTGGAGAAGAGGGGTCAGTAGATGGCAGTTAGGGAGGCAGGCCAGGCAGAAGTGGTCACAACAGTGCACAGTGCCAACTCACAGTGCTACCCTTCTAAGGTGGGATGAGGCCCAATGAGGATGGCCTGGACGACAGGAAACCTAACATCACGTCTCACAACCCAGTATAATACTGATTTCACTTGCTTTATCTGGTCTGTGATCATGTTCAGACCAGACACAGGTCCTTTTATGTCCATGAGGCTTCACACAGGGCCTAACACATTCATGGCAGGGAGCAGAGGGATCTAGGGGTTCCCATGTCGAGCTGGGCCCTGGGACCCAAGATGAATGGGACTGGGGCTTTGTCTTTGAGGACCCTAGAAGTGAGAGGCCCAGGGGTCAGGGTAAGGCCAAGAGGTGAGATGCTGGGCCATTCCATCCCATTCCAGAGGCAGGGGCAGACACTGGAACACCAGATGCTCTAAGGAGGTCCTTCACCGGGGGTGGGGGTGGGGGATTACATGAACGGTAAGAGATTGGGTAAACAGAGCCAGACCGTGGGAGGGTAATGAGCTGTAGGGGTATCCGGGAGGCAGGGCCCTCATTAGGGCCTTATCTCCAGATTTGTTTGCGGGTAGAAGTGGGCCCTTATCTGGGCTGGAGAACTGTTCCTGAGAGGGGAGACAGGGTGTTTTTGTGTTGTTGGGTTCCTGTGTTTATCCCTCAATGTTTACACATCTATCTGATGATACATATTGTTGGCTATTTTTATAAAAACTATTTTTAATTGTGGAAAAAGACTTATAAAGTTTACCATCTTAACCATTTTTAAGTATACAGTTCAGTGGCATTAAGTACATTCATGCTGTTGTGCAACAATCACCACCATCCATCTCCAGAACTTTTTCATCTTCCCCAGTTGAAACTCTGTACCCTTAATTAAACACCAACTCCCCATTCCCTCCTCTCCTCCAGTCTCTGGTAACCACCACTATTTCTTTTCTTTTCCTTTTTTAATGTTATTTTTGAGAGAGAAAGAGAGAGAGTGAGCAGGGGAGGAGCAGAGAGAGGGGGGACTAGAGGATCCCAAGCAGACTCTGTGCTGACAGCAGAGAGCCCAATGTGGTATTCAAACCCACGAACTGTGAGATCATGACCTGAGCTGAAGTTGGACACTTAACTGAGTCACCCAGGTGCCCCACCACCACCCTACTTTCTGACTCAATGAATATGACTACTCTAAGCATCTCACCTCAGTGGAATCAAACAGTATTTGTCCTTTTGTGACTGGCATATTTCACTTAGCATAAAGTCCTCAAGGTTCATCCATGTTGTAGCACATGTCAGAATTTCCTTCCTTTTTAAGGCTAAATAATAGTCCTCTGTGTGTATATACCACGTTGTTTATCCATTCAACCACTGATGGATACTTGGGTTGTTTCCACCTTTTGGCTATTGTGAATAATGCTCTTTAAACACGGGTGTACAAATTTGGCTCTAGAGTTTTGTATATTTCCCTCCATGCTGATGTTTGTGTTAGATTCTTTTTTAAACTCAGCCCCATTCATCTTGGGTCCCAGGGCCCAGCTCGACAGGGGAACCCCTAAATCCCTCTGCCCCCTGCCACGAATGTGTTAGGCCCTGTGTGAAGCTTTGTGGACATAGAAGGACCTGTGTCTGGCCTGAACATGATCACAGACCAGACAAAACGAGTGAAATCAGTATGCTCAACATGGGGCTCGATCTCGCAACCCTGAGATCAGGAGTAATGTGCTTTATAGACTGAGCCAACAAGGCACGATTCTATTTCTGTAATTAAAAAAAAAAAAAAACCAACACTGAATATCAGTAATTTCATATGGTTCAACTCAATATATATACACATTCCCATGCATAGCTGTACCTGTGCATGTAATGTACATGTACATGCTATCTGCTTTGTTTGTATGTCTGCTTGGCTGTCTTTAAATATCTAGCCATATGTCAGTGTGCATTTACCTGTGTCTGCATGTGTGTATGTATATTTGTGTGATGTTTGGGTGAAGATCTGTTTGTGTGCATGAGTGACTGTGCAGCGGGGGAGGTCTTTGACCCTAACTCTGCAGTGTCGTACTGGGTGCATGCACAGGGAGGTCAAGTGAGCGGGGCAGAGACAGGAAGACAATGAATTGAAGTGAAAAGGGCTCCAAGGTATCCCTGACACGCTGATAATGAAAGCGTGTAAGTCAAATCAAATCCCCTAGGTGGCAAGACTAGCCCCTCCCATTGGATTGAATGGGTAGAGGGCAACCAGAGGGTAGACAGGTATATCCTGGCCTCAGGGCTGGGCCTGGGCTGGAGACCCAGAGTGGTAGGAGCCGTACGGATAGCAAAGCCTGGACCCTGGCGGCAGTGTGTTGGCACAGGCCCCTTAATAACCGTTATTAAAGGGAAGAAAAATATTTTCCTGTCCCGGGGACGTGTCAGGCGCCTGCCTGGCATCATTCTGCCATCCTGGGGGCCACTTCCCCTTGTCTGTGGTCTTTTATGAGCCAGGTGGCGCCTGGGCAGATGACTGTCGTGTGGGGATGGTTGGAGCCCATCAGATGCAGGCTGCTTGGATGCCAGCACTGCCGCGTACCTTTTATGTGGCACTTCTGGGTAGGGGGTGACAGTATTCCTGGGAGGAGCAGAAAGTAGGAGAGCCAGGCTGTGCCCAAATCCCTTGCATCAAGGCAAAGTGACCTAAGAGCTAGAGACACAGGAACAAGCGGTGAAGATATAAAAGGGTGAGAAAGACTCCAAGATGTGCAGAATGACATTCCGGGCTGGAGGGCTAGAGGGGCACGGGCATGGCTACTGAAGGAAGATGGGGGGCTGTGGTGCAGGGAAAGGGCTGCCAGAAAGGCCTCTGGAGCCACACTCTGAAGAGGGCCTTGCTGAATTGCTGGCTCTCATTGTCCAGACGATGGCGAAAGGTTGGCAAGATTTCTAGAGTGAAGCACCAGACTCGCAGGAACAACCCACATGGGTGTGGCTCACTGTTCTTGAGCACCACACGGGCCTTCAGGAGGTCCCACTCGCTCTGGCACTTAATGAGCAAATGGAACAATCACAACTCTGAGCTACAGTGGTTTAATCTGTAAAATGGGACCAACATCACCTCCTTCACCAGGTTTTTGTGAGGAATAAGTGAGACAGTGCAAGTGGGGGAGGGGCAGAGAGAGAGGAAGAGAGAGAGAATTCCAAGCAGGTTCCACACTGCCAGCGCAGAGCCCAATGTGGGGCTCAAACCCATGAAGCTGTGAGATCATGACCTGAGCAAAAACCAAGAGTCAGACGCTTAACCAACTGAGCTACCCAGGCCCCCCATAAATGGGCTATTTTATGGCAAGTGCCTGACCAAGAGGAGGAGTAGTAGTTTAGTACATGCTGGATTCTAGAGCTTTCTCAGGCCACGAAAGGGCAGGGGCTCAAGTAGAGGCCTGAAGACAAAAGAGGCCTGAAGCAGCCACCGGAGGAGCTACTTTGGTCCGTCTCAGACCCCTTCTAGACCAAAGGCTGGCTCTGAACGTGAACATGGCCCTCTGGCCACGTCAGTGGAGTGTGGCTCTGAGATTTGGCCTCTTATTCCAGCTCACAGGAGACAAGGTCCTCTCTTCACCCTCCATACACAGATAAGCATTCTGGCAGGCAGATCACAAGAATGAGAATTTGGGCATTCTATTTTGTAAAGGTGGCCGAGTCTGGGGTCTAGACTACAGACACTGTGATGATGGTGTCTCCCTTCCCTCAACTTCCCACAAC